TGAAAATGGCATTTTGATCTATTTTCTGTTTTTGAATGAAATTGGACCAGCTTGTCTGACTCTATGATGATAAATTGCAACTAAACGAGTGAAAAATCATACGTCTAGTGAGCTGGTAGAATAATTTGATTTTTTATAACTTTCGTCGATCGTAAATGACGTTTTTTTTGAATTTTCACCAGTTTTTTGAATTTTTCCGAAAACTCAGAGCCGTTGGGCCAAATCTGAAGGCAGATTCTGATTCAGCGGAAAAAAATACATGGAAATACATGGGTCTGAATACCAGATCCGATACTTTTTTTTTTGTGGGGCTGTGTTATTAAAAATTTCTATTTTATCAAGTTCAAATATCTCGGAAGCCAATGACATGTTGGGAATTATTTCTATTACGAAAATTGATCAGAATTTAATGGTTTTTCGAGTCACCGAAAAAATTATGTGGTTTGGTTATTTGTGAAATCTATAATGCTATGAAATATTACGCCATTTTTACTCAGCAATGAAGTCTTTTGTGTGCACTTTACAACATATTTTGCAGACCTTAGATAACCCTTTTGGTTTTAGAGATATTCTGAGTAAATTGGTCTACTGGCTGAACAAATACCAAGCTGGTTGTCACATCGTCATATTCTCAGCGTTGCAAGGGGTTTATTGCTTCAGTTCTCAGAAGAAATCTGAGACTAAGCCCTCTGACTGGTATTTATATTTGCTATGCGCCATAGACTAGTGGACAAAGCCAATATACCAACCAGAGGAGTTAATCTCCAGTTTCAAAGCTTCTTCTGAAAGAGGTAGCGATATGTCTCTCGAAATGTCAAGAAGACTGAATCGTTCAGCCATTTATAAAGCAAATAAACTTCTGGTCGTTTGCAATTTAGATTTCAAATACTTTTCCACTTAAAAACAATCTATAAAATATAAAACTTAAGCAAGGATAGAACTAGAATTTCATCGCTTAATGTTTAATTTGCTAAAAACTGATATACTGTAGACAGCATGAGCTTTAAAAGTAATTAGTATCCATAAGGACCATCGATGCAGAAAATTCCTCGAAGGACGCATCCTAGCACCACCCTCCCAGCTATAATCGCTTAGGAAGCCGAAATCAGCCACGGTGACGATAGTGGATTTATTGTTTTCGACGGGGCGCCGACTCATTGATAGTGCGTTACTGTAAAAGCCAGCCTCGAATTCCTTCAAGGATGTGCTGATGTGGAATTCGGGGCAATTATCCCCTTTCACAGGACTGGTGTATTAGCATTAAGGAATGCAATTACTAAGTGTCTGTTCTACTTAACCCTCCGACCCAGGGAAAACGTTACGCAATATAGCCTTGCAGGAGGTGACGCTCGAAGGACTCGGAGATGGTTAGGTATACTTCTGATTTTATGTACGTTTCTGTGTAGTTCAATTGCAGTCTGTGGTTTTGTGGATCACCTAATCGATGTATGATGCTAGAATCATACAGAGCACTACATTAGCTATGCGCTATACATGTTAAGATGTTTATCGACCGGCAAACATATTGCGAACTGTTCGTATGTTGTTACAAATCTGCTTGCAAACAGCAGTTCTACGCTGACGTCCACAAAAATGATTTTTTATGTGCTCGCGGTTACGTTACCAAACTTCAGTTTAGCTGAAATATTGGTGTCAATTTTGTCCCATTTATAGAGTGAAAGATGAAAAAGTTATTATGTTTATTAATTTCGGCAAGAAAATTGTTATGGAGTGTTAAATATTAAAAAGAAACAAAAACATGGCGAGTGAAAAAATTTGAAAGAAAATTAAGTTATTCAAAATCGATAATTGACATACTCTCTCATCACTAGTCAGAGTAACCTCGATTACCTTGCAATTCGGATGATTCGGATTTTTACTACACCTTCGAATTTTGAAAAAATCACAATAATGGCGAAAAGCGCCTCTACCACCATCAGAATCCTAGACCGAGCGTTCAATATACCGCCTAGGACATCCTGCATTCCCCAAAGAAATGACCTCATAGGCAGAGGGCCCGAGGACAAAAAATCTCATGCCAGTTTCGAATTTCACTAAGCGAAGCGCCGAGGAAACAATTTCACGGAGCCTACAAAGAAGACGTTCAATCGTCTACCCCTGGTAAGGTTCCTGGTAAGACAGCGCAAAATCAGTTACACGATATTTTTACATAATACCTACTGCCAATTTTTTATGTATGCTTTGTAGACAAAAGTAGATAATATGCGACACAAAACGACGTTTTAAAATACAGGGTGTCCCGAAATTAATACAACAAAATTTGGTCACAGATTCTTAAGACAAATTTAGGGGACCTGTATTTTTTCTTTTTGCCAAGTGGCCCCCTCTTTCGAAGTTACAGCCCCTTGAAATCCGCCCCTAAGAATAATCTTTTTTTATATCTCAGAACCCTGCTGTTTTACGAGAATCACTAAATTTGGTACACCGGGATTTATGACGTGGAATCTGATGGTGCTACGCTTTTTGGAGGGGAACTCCCTTAAGACAATTTTTCGTGGACCCCCTCTTCTTTGGAGCCAAAAAAATTTGGTCGCATATTTAAATTTCTTAAAAATTATCAGTCCACTAGAAAGCTATTAAATTTAGAAACTTTTTGTCTCTTTATAATTTTTTCGTAAAACGCAATGTTTTCGAGATAAATGTCAAAATGCGATCGAATACATATCGTGATTCGCCATTTTCCTCAAAAACATTGCGTTTTATGAAAAAAATATCGAGATAAAAAAGTTTCTAAATTCAATGGCTTTCTAGCTAACTCATAATTTTTAAGAAATTCAAATTTGCGACCAAATTTTAGTTCCCAAAAAGCGTAGTACTATCAGATTCCACATGTCATACAGCCCCTGTGTACCAAATTTAGTGATGCTCGTACAACAGGTTTCTGAGATATAAAAAAGACTATTCTTAGGGGCAGATTTAATGGGGGCTGTAACTCTGAAAGAGGGGGCCACTTTTCAAAAAGAAAAAATACGGGTCCCCTAAAGCCTTAAGAAACTGTGACCAAATTTTGTTGCATTAATTTCGGGACACCCTGTATATACCCAGGAATCAAATTTGAAACAATTAATGGCTGTTTTTAATATAAGTAGGAATACAGTTGGTTCCAAAAAATGTACAACAGAATACGTCGGACACCTACGCTATATACGAGGTGATTCAGAACTTACAAAAAAAAATGTTTGAATTTACAGGGGTCTCTTATAAATACAATTTTGGAAAAAAATCAAAAAGGGCAATTCGGCAATGATTTAAAAATACACTTCTGCACGGCATTGGAAACTGGTCCAGTGTAAAACCTAACCTTGAACCGGTACGGCGGCAATGTGAAATAAAAAATTAACGGACAAAAAATTGAAAAAATTTCTTTCCTAAGGAAAGAAATAAATAAATTCTATAACACCAATTTTATATCAGCAAATTCAACTGCTTTTGCCGCTGTTGTTATTAATTAATAAAATTAATTTATGATTTTAATTAATAAAATAATTTAATATATTTGTTTTTACAATGGTTCAAAATTTCGCTCACCGACGTGTAAACCCATTTGGACCCCTCTTACTCAGTTTCTATAAACTAACACAAATGTTGTCTTGCTTCACCATAAATTAAAACCATATCCATCAACTCGGAGTTGCTATACACACAAGCCTTTTTTGACACTTGAACAACTAATGTAAACACTATCGCAAAAACGTTAATACTAAAATCGGATTTCAGTATTCGGAATCGCCTGGAGCCACGTGAAGAGAGAGCGCATTGCGCACAGCACACAACGCGAATGACGCTAGAGACTACAGTAACCCAGCGATGTAAGGATAATTTACGATGACTCCATTTTTCATGATGCATCTATTGACGAATTTTTTTGGATAAATTGTGAATCACCCTGTATACACAGTGATAGATACGCCGATGCAGATTGATTTTCGACATATTTAAAACGTCATCGTCGCTGATACTGATCGTTGTTTATACTGTTTTTAAGGGAAATACTATTTTTTACAGGAATTTATTAAAAAATAATTGTTACCCGGTAGTCCAGCACTTATACAAGACATAAGGATTGTCTATACTATTAAATACTGTTGATATATTTTAAGCAAATAAATAAAAATAAACTTAAGCAGTGATGAATATCGACAGTTCAAGTCCTTGCTGTTATTGCACAATATTATTGTGCATTATTATTCACCCTTAAGTGTCTTGATCAATTTATTGTCTGAAAAATTGATAAATCCAAAACACATTTTAAAGAATATTGTTAAACTCAAAATTCTTGGGTAAAACACAAATATCTAGTCGCTTTCAATGTATGCAGTTATAGAAAATATAGGCAATAGAACATTTCAAATCTTCCGTCATATAAAAAAAAGGGATTTGTTGTCTTCAGTAATATTTCTATTAAAGGATTATTTTCAAATGTCAAGACAAGCAAGTCAAACATATCAGGTCAATAGAATACAACTACAGTAATTTGAGACTTTCACTAATCCCACTTCTGAGGTTAACAGAAATTTCATTAATAAAATTACCATTTTAAAATATGTTAGGAATTGATAGTATACATAGTTACATAACTTAAAATTTTGATCATAAATACGTCCGAATTAGTCTTATTTAGAAAAAATATATAAAAACTGCTGCAATTGTATTTACTGTGGACAAAGATCATTAATTATTACCCACAACTAAACCTCTCTAATACTAATAATAATTTTGTCGATATAACTTATCGACATCACATAAGTAGACTATTAAATATTTTTTAATATCCAGTTCGAAGGACCAAAAATTAATATTCTATTAATATAACGTGTTGAGTGTTTCTTAATACAATTCCTTATTGGCTATTATCACATTTAACTTTGAGCATATGGTCTGAAACTGTTATTTAGATATTCAGATACAAAATTTGTAATAAGGGTTATATACACAAGGAAGTGAGAAGGATAAATAAGGGATTCAAGATTTTGCCTGCACTTTATTTCTTAAAAATAACTAGAACAGTTTATATACAAAAGCAGTCTTTATATAAAAAAAAAGTTAAATACTCTATAAATTAACATTCATAAACTTTATTTTTCACTACTCACCATCAAATTAGGAAGTTTTTTCAAAAACTCAACGTGGAGCTCCAAAAGCGTATTTACGTTAAGTCTCCCACTAACAAATTTGAACATTTCCACCATGATTTGTTGTTGGTTTTCCTCGTTCTGAGTGCCGATACAATCCTGAAAAATGCCAACTATCTCGTTGGGAGATTTAACACGAACCAAAATGTCTTTTCTCAAAGTTACTTCAGCCTCATTACCATATGAATCTAATATTCTGTCGAAAAACTCTGTCAGGTTGGTACTCTGCAACCTCTGAACAACGATATCGCTCAATTGTACGACAGATATTCGATTTAAGTAACTAAAAATATCGCTCGGATTTTCTATAAGCGGAAGAAGACACTGGTCTATAACATCTTGTCTGCTGAAAACATTCTTACTTATGGTCTCTTCGAGGCCTGTTTTAATGTCATCTAGTGGTCGCGTTTCAAAGACGTCAGAGAGAGATCGCTTCTCAAGGGACTGCTTCATAATGCATGTGAAATAAACCGATTCTTCTCCGGGATCTTCGATTGTACTTGTTAACATTTTCAGTGTGCTTGGAAGACCAATTTTTTTTATTATATGTTTGATGATAACCTTAAAATCAGAATCTGAGAGGAAATCTTCAACTTCAAGTTTATACTGAGTTTTGACAAGACCAAGAATTTGTTGTTTTTCAGTGGAAGATAAGATCATTTTGAGGAGTTCTTCAAATGTTCCCTGTAAAGTTAATAAAACACTATCTGAACTGAACTACCAAAATTTACAATACAATTACTATATGTTATTTTTATACAGAGTGGTCCATTAGTCTAGAAAAGTATAGCTTTATTATTCAAAACAGACAAAAAAACTGTTCAAATAAAAATTGGAGTCGGTTAAAAAAATCCTTCAAATATACAGGGTAAGAAATAAAAGCGTGGCTGTCAAAATACAAGATTTTTTAACGTAGGTATTTGAAAATGTCATAAATTACACTACCACACAAAATAAAATGTGGTCTGTACTTTTCTTGCGACCTGTTATCCGTAGTAGTTTTGCCTCCTTATCACGAATCCGGTGTCAGAATTGAGCTATCACTTCACAGGAATTTCCTAACCTCAAAAAACAGGTCAAACAGTAAAAATTCACAAAAAAGTGCTAGGAAAAGTAGAAATTTTTTTTTCTATATTCAAATGTTCATTTACATGGTTAAGACCCCGCCGAACGTGAATCCACGGTCGGAATTGATGGTTCTTTTTTTAACCTAAAAAAACGGGTCAATTAAGGTCAGATATCACGAATTTTCAAAAAATAACAGATTCGCGCCAAATTTGGTAACGGGGGTTTTCGCTGGTCACGGATCCGAGGTCAATTTTGCAAATTTCAAGATGGCGGATCCAAGATGGCCGACCAAATTTTCAAAAAATAACAGATTCGCGACGAATTTGGTATACGGGGGTTTTCGAGGTCAGTGATCACGAATCCGAGATCAGCTTACAAAATTCGTTGTTAAAAATTTAATCAGTTACCTATGTACTTTAAGAAGGTTAAAACATGATTGAGTAGGTACTCAAGTTATAGGGCAAACAGAAATATTACAAAATGAATTTCACAATTCTGATCTCGAATTCGTAATCAGTGATCCCAAAAATCCCCGTATACCAAATTTGACGCGAATGTTATTTTTTTAAATTTGATCGACCACCTTGGATCCGCCATCTTGAATTTGGCAAAATTGACCTCGTATCAGTGATCAGCGACCCCGAAAACCCCCGTATACCAAATTTGGCACGAATGTTATTTTTTCATCCACCATCTTGAATTTTGAAAAACTGACCTCGGATCGATGATCAGCGACCCCGAAAACTCCCGTACACCAAATATGGCGCGCGAATATTTTGAAAATTCGTGATATCTGATCTTAATCGACCCGTTTTCTTGAGGTTAGATAAAGAACCATCAATTTTGACGGCGGATTCACGTTCGGCGGGGTCTTAACCATATAAACGAACATTTGAATATAGAAAGAAAAATTTTTGTATTTTTTCTAGCACTTTTTCGTGAATTTTTGCTATTTTTGACGTGTTTTTTGAGGTTAGGAAATTCTTGTGATGTGATAGCTCAATTCTGACACTGGATTCGTGATCAGGAGGCAAAAATACTATACTGGATAACATATGTCGCATGAAAAGTAGACAACTTGTTTTTTGTGTCGCTGTGTTATTGCACGTGGTAGTATAAACAGTTTTACATCTGGCCGGATGATTGGTGTCAAATTATTTACAAAAATTCGTTAAATTTTTCAGAGAACATAACCTATTAAAATTTGTTTTTAATTGATAACGTTTAGAACCAAAATATTTTACAAAGCCTAGCCTCCTAGACTCCAAATCTATAAAACATTCATTATTACTTACCAGGTCTTTTTATAGCCACGGAGAATTTATAAATTTCAAACAAAATTGTATCCAATTCTTAAATGCAACATCTTGCGTTTAAGTGTATAATATTAGAAATATTTCTATTCTGTTTTAATTGAGACATTTTTATAATTATTTTCACTAAATTTGAAGATATTTTAAATTTTTTATAAATGACCTTCGCAATAACCAAGAACTGTTTGTGCGAGTGCGTTATAACTTCAACAGACATATTAGGTCATGCTTGCAGCAAAATGGAAATTATTTCGAGAATATTCTTTAAATTTAATTTTGCATTTCTTGTTTTTCGTTTGTATTAAACTTTATTTCAGATAAATAACTTTACCTAATACATGTCTCATAGTCATAAGTTATCAAACATTTTTCATTAATTAATAGCAAATTATTCTTAATGTTATTATTAAATTACCAGCTTATTGGCAGAAAGTGTCAATTTCTTAATATGATAAATAACAATTTATTTGTTATGACATCCGCCTACTTTATTTTTACAAATTTTCGCAATTACCCCTTTAGTGAAAGATGACGCATCTAATTTTTTTAGTAGAAAACTATCGGTTTTATCGAAACATTACAAGAGGTAAAAAAGTTGCGCAATAAATCAGCCTTCTCAATAAATATTTTTAAATAAATAATTTGCTACATATAAAAAATTTCTAATAAAATATTGCAATGGGGTTGACTGTTTCACTTCTTTATAAAATATGCCAATGATCGAAAAAATTTTGAAAAGTTGTTTCTTTATTAGTAGGATGCTCATACCAAGCTTACTGGTACCATTTTTGCTACTTCATTTAAAAACACCCTGTATATCACCTTAAAAGGAAAACGCCAATTTACAAAACACTCTGTATAAAATTTATGTGAAGACATAAATAACCCTTACCTCGGTTTTTGATTTTTCTATCAACTGCCTAAACTCAGCTTTAGGGTCCAATTTCTTGGGAGACGTTTTCTTAATCACGCCCAGCCTCTTACTTTCCTCAATCCCATTTACTTTAGGTGGTTCTCCATTCTCCGACTCCTCCCTCTTGAACTTATCAATGTTCTTCTTATAATAACTATCTAACGCCTTATAGACATTAGGAACGACTGGGACTTTAAAAGGGAAACGGTGGATTTCCGCTTCGCTCTGCTTGGCCAGATCTCCTATCGTTTTAATCTCCTTGTTTTTCAATTTGTTCATCAACGTGGTTATGAACATGGGGCTGGTAACCCGTTTGAGTATCAAGATAACGTTCTCCTGGCAATCCACCAATTTGGGGTAGATCGGTTTGTCTTTCTTCAACATTAGAGGGTTCACCATCTCCAAACTGGGTTCTGTTTCGAAGTTTTCTGTCTCTGTCAGCTTTTCGGAGCTTGACGACTCATCGGGAGAACCCGAAGCTCTATGAACTTGTTCTTCCTCGGTCACTGATTGTATAAACTCGTCAAAGACCGGATTAGCTTCTGAAACGCGATTGTACTCGTCTTTGATGAATAGTTTCTTCGAAGTGAGGCAAGGATCGCTGAAGTTCACTCTCTTTCTCTAAAATAATTTTAAATCAGCATTTAGTTTATATTCACACATTAACGCATATTTTATACATTTAGGAACCGATATCCCAAAAAAAAATGTAACATTAAATATTTTGATAATTTGAAAATGCGGCGCCCAACGTGGGTCACTTTGACGAGAATATTTTAACACAAACTCTGAGTTAAATACCTGGGAGTAATTTTTGATCAACAATTAACCTTCATTGATCACAATAATTACTCTACTGTAAGATCATCCGAATTATTAGGTTTCATTATTCACAGTTGTAAAAAAAATGTGTTTATAAACATGCAACATTACATTCTTGAAAGAGATGTTGTTATTTTGACTGTTACTGACCTTCGCGCAAGGAGAAATTCCGTCAGACTCTGAACCATCCGACATTTTCCTCTTCAAAATGCTGCTCCTCGGTACAGCCATTGGACTAGGCACCTCCCTCGAAAACGTCAAGAGATCTTCTTCCTTCACATCTCTGCTAGCCTCCTCGGAACTAGGATTTTGGTTGAAATTGGACATCAACTTTTTGATTCTGGCTGTAGATGGAGACATTGTCACACTCCGTTTCTTAATAAATAACCTGTGGGTCATCGGCGAGCTGACATTCACCATATTCAAAAGTCTGGAAGCTCTCTCCTGAATGGTACTGTCTTTTGCGGACTTCGTGCTTCCGATATCGGGCATGTCTAGTTTCTTGTGACAAACTTCTTCAACTCGGCAGGTATCATCTTCTGGTTCATTTGGTTGGTGTTGTGTTTCTTCAATTTGGAGAGGAGTGTTATCAATTTTGTCGTTTTGTTGGTCCGGTACATCTTTAGGAGCAACTGTGTCAAAATTCCGTTCAACTTTGTACGGAACTTCTTCCATCTTCATAGAAATGGGTTCGTTTTGTCGGGAACCCTTATCAGCTTGGTTTGGAATCCGTTCTAATTCCGTGAGAATATCGCCAAGAAGGACAGGCATCTCTCCATTTTCGTTCAGGTTTACCAATTGCCTGTCTTGGTTCACAAACTCTTCATTATCTTGGTGTTTTTCGACATTTCCTTCTAACATTAGTTCTAGCATCTTCTCTTTCTCAATTTTGTCCAATTCTTCCATATCCGCCTTGAAGTTGATTGAAATGGGCACTCTGTTGTCTTCAGGTTCGCCATCATCTGAACTACATTTGGAATTTATAGGAGAAATATCCAATGTATTGTTCAATAGTTCGGAGGTTCTGTTAGGGGTCTCCTTGGTCACCGGCGAAGATGGAAGGCTGCTACTTGCTTTTGATATTGGTGATTCTAAAATAAAAATAAAAAATGAAAATTTTTAGAACTCCCCTGGGGGGTATCCCATTAATGTTTAAGTACAAGATATTACTCTTCATAGGATGGCACTGTGATGAAAAGACATTTTTTTATTAAAGACAAATGATAGGAAAGTCACATTTTTTAACAAGCATAAAAAATCTTTAAAAAGAAATTATATCATCATATCATATCATATCGTCTTTAAATCATAAAAAGAACGTCTCGGCAACTTGGGATGAGTAAATCGAAAATTTGAAAAGTTCTACATAAGGATGGTAGAAATCCGTACCATTTACAACCTGTGCAAAATTTAATTCCGGGAGATGTAGACACCTGAATTTTTGTTAGTGGTTGTTTTAAAGTCACAACATAATCCAGAATTCTTACTAGAAATACTTTGGACCGATGAAGCTATGTTCACAAGGCGAAGGATTGGTGAATTTTCACAATATTTAGTTACAAGAAAATCCTCATGAAATTTGGACAAGATCTTTTCAACACGAATTTTCTGTGAGAGTGTGGCTCGAAATAATTCGGACCTTTCTTCTTGTCACCCCATCTAAATTCCCAGTCATTCCTAAACTTTCTAGAAAACCATTTATTTGAATTATTAGAGGATGTTCATTAAATATAACACAAAATAGCTGGATACAAATGGATGGTGCTCCTGCGCATTTTAGAAGAATAATACAAGAATGACTTAATCAAAATTATATGGGGCGATGGATAGGTTGAAGATCAAATACCAATGTCAACCATAGTAGTGCAGAGAATTCAATGTCTTGGCCAGCCAGATTGCCAGATCTAAACCCCGAACGGCGAATCTTAGGGAAAAAATTCAAGTTACCTTTTTTACATATTTAGTGCATTAGAATATAAATCTGTTACAATAACTTCTAAAAAATACAGTGGCATAGTTTTGTTTATAAAAAGAGAACGGCCCCTGTCCAGTTGTACACCACTGGTTGAACCTTTAGAGCTCGTATTTTAAGGAATGCAAGGCCTACTGTCATACATTATCTGTACCAAATTTTATTGAGATCGGTTAATAGATTTCGGAGATATAAACAAAAAATCATTTTTTTTTAACAACGTCAACACCCTGTATCTCTAAAACGAGGCCGTTCCAGACCTATGTTTATAAGGCAAACACGTATTATTTTAAAGAGATCCATCCGCCCTCGAATTTTCCTGCATAAAATTCGGACCACCCTGTATATGCACACACAAATGTAATATGTATGTATCTATGTACCAATCTCTTTATTAATAAACAATTAAAAGTAACGTTTTATAATTTAATATCGTTACATTATACATACTCCATTAATTCGAATTTTTCAGTACTCCGGCACTCTTAGGTTTTTAATGGTGCCGGATTAATGAGATTTTACTGTATTTAATTAGTTAAACTTAATTTTTAAACCCTTAGGACTTTTCTTTATTAAGAACCATTTTTAAAAATAGAATTCATTATAGTGCAATATACAGGGTGTTTCAGGAGATGTACATACTTCAGTATGTTCAATTTTAAGCAAAAAATTTCCTATGAATTTAGGTCTGGAAACGCTTCGTTTAGGAAATACAGAATGTCAAATTAAAAAAAAATTATTACATTTCCTTTAATAACTCCCAACTACTTTGAGTTAAATTCATGAAATTTTGTATGCGGAGGTTTCTAGGGACGGGAAATTCAAATTTTATGGACGATTGGATTTACCAAATTACGTGAATCGCGTTTTCTTCTAAGTTGTCATTATCATTCTGAACAAGCAGATAATCAAAATGCTAATGAAAAAAATGTACATTACGCAAACAAGACTTGTATCCTTTCCACATTTAAAACGTATAGAATTTTCAACCAAGAGATTATGCCAGCAGATTGGAATTTTGTGAATAGATCAACGCTAATCGTCAACTAGTTCCAATGATACTTTTTATTGACAAAGCTGATACATAATTAGCACCCTAATACATAATTTGCATGCATCATCATCTTTAGATGAGTTTTTAACGGAAATGGCTGATCCTAGAGACTTCAATAAGGTGTACATTTCTTAAGTAGAAAAGATAGGGGAAAATTTCTCTTCCGAAATGACATACACTGTGGTACAAAAAAGTTGAAGCAATTTAAAAGGATCGTAATGGTTGCTTGTGGCGCCCTCTGGGAGATACAGCTAATCATCCATAAAATTTGAATTTCTTGTCCCAAGAAACTTCCGCATACAAAATTTTATGAATTTAACTCAAAGTAGTCAAGAGTTATTAAAGAAAATGTAATAAATTTATTTTAATTTGACATCCTGTATATCCTAAACGAAGCGTTTCCAGACCTAAATTAATAGGAAATTTTTTACTTAAAATTGAACGTAGAATAACATACTGAAGTATGTACATCTCCTCCTGAAACACCCTGTATTTAGTTTTAGACTGATACGTAAAATATTGAGATCTCTAAATGACATTTTTCAAAAGTTAGCTTAGATCGCATTAGTAATATGTATGAACTCTATGCAAAATTTAAGATTTATTATATCTGTATTAAATTTCAAAATTGTTTTTCACTTTGATACTGTTTATATTTAATTTATAAATGTTTTATAAATTTCCTGTAATTAGGAGAGTCCATTGAAAATAAACTATTATTAAATAATTTTCTTGACATATAACTTGGCAAACTTGCAAATTTTATTTGCAAGGTATGCAAATCAGCATTCGCTGACTTGACACTTCGCTCATGCATGCAGCACACCCAGGAATGAAGCTTTTCATCTGGGAAAATAGCCCTTTTTAGAGCTGAATTGTGGGAGTGAAAAAAGGTGCAGCTTTTAATATATAAGAATTATTTCCTTTTACATGTAGTCCAGGCGGTACTTGTTTCGGGTTGGGTAAAACGCATATGATCGGAGATTTTTGCTTTAACGGCTTCTAAATAACATCAGAAATGATAATATTTCTATGTAAATAAAAAAAAACGTGGGCTTAATTGTTATTGCAAAAAAGTATAAAAAAATAGCAAAAAAATTCATTTTTTTCTTGGATGTCTCGTCGACAACTTTGCAACTATTCGTTTCAGACAAAAATGGAAGAGGAAAAAAAGTTTTGTAATTAAATTTTTATCAAGATAGAGTTAGTAGTTGCAATTCGAAAAAATAATTATTGTTGTTGCAAATATCGGAAAAATCATTTAAAAAATTGCACAAAATGCTAGTTTATTTGTCAATTTTTTTCAGACACTTGAATAACACCTAGGATCTTCATACTTTTTCCAATTAAACTTCTTAGTGCATAGAATCATCACACCAAATTTCATCCAATTCGGTTCGATAGTTTTTACATAATAATTGTTTAATTTTTTTTATTTTTTTAAATTAAAGAATTTTCAAAATCAAATTTCTAAAAATCTAAAGCCTTTGAATACTTGAAAATTTCGCCACAAAAAGAAGAGCTCTCAAGCTTTAAAATGCTTTTTGAAAAATTCAAATCGGATGATTAGGTGAGCCGTGGTGATTGTTTAAACATTTTCGCAATTTTCACGCTTATAAACAATTGCAATAATTTAATGTTTTTTCAATTTTTTTTTTATTTTAAAATATGGTTTGAAAGTACTCGGAAAGGCGAGTATTTAAAAAAAAACCTGATGATCCGCCCATTATTTTCTGGTTATAGCCCGTTAAAGTTAACCCTTATTTACAGCAAAACTATAAGGGCTGTTTTTTAAACCAATAGGTTTGTTATTCCGAGTACTTTCCAGATATAAATTTTCAAAATTTGCAATCATGGACGTCCCATTTAAAATGTCACTCAAAGATATTCAAGACCACGTGAAATCAATGAGGTATCAGTGGTGGGGGGAGCAAACACACAGCGACTACGATCTGAATTCTCGAGTTCAAAATTGCGAAACTCGGAAAAATTTCACTTATCTCAGCGTCTAATGGACCAATTTCGATGATTTTTTTTTAAGTCAATGTATCGCAACTAAAAAATTCAATTATCATATTTTCAACTACATTTTATTATTACTTATTGGACTTTTGACATGCCGAAAACAGTTACTTTAAAAAATGATTCATTTATTATGTTTATTTATTTACTACGTTAATTTTCAAGACCAAAATATTTGCATGTTTCACCATGTTGTTGGTATTAATTAAGTATCCAAAAGATTCTTATACTTTTTTCATAAATAAAAAATAAATTTTAGATAAATATTTTAAAAGTAAACGAAAAAATTAAAATTATAATTATTCACAATTTATGTGAGTAATAATTTTTGAAAGACTTAGAAATTTATCGTACAACTAAAAATTAATACCAATTTTCAGTTGTTTATTTAAATAATTATTGTTTAAACAATTTTATAATATTTAAACAAACTTACTAGTATTACCTAAAATTTGAAAAGAACATTAAATTATTGCAATTGTTTATAAGCGTGAAAATTGCGAAAATGTTTAAACAATCACCACGGCTCTCCTAATCGTCCGATTTGAATTTTTCAAAAAGCATTTTAAAGCTTGAGAGCTCTTCTTTTTGTGGTGAAATTTTCAAGTATTCAAAGGCTTTAGATTTTTAGAAATTTGATTTTGAAAATTTTTTAATTTAAAAAAAATAAAAAAATTAAACAATTATTATGTAAAAACTATCGAACCGAATTGGATGAAATTTGGTGTGATGATTCTATGCACTAAGAAGTTTAATTGGGAAAAGTATGAAGATCCTAGGTATTATTCAAGTGTCTGAAAAAAATTGACAAATAAACTAGCATTTTTTGCAATTTTTTAAATGATTTTTCCGATTTTTGCAATAACAATAATTATTTTTTCGAATTGCAACTAACTCTATCTTGTTCAAAATTTAATTACAAAACTTTTTCCTCTTTCATTTTTGTCTAAAATGAATAGTTGTCGACGAGAAATCCAAGAAGAAAATGATTTTTTTTGTAATTTTTTTATACTTTTTTGTAATAACAATTAAGCCCACGTTTTTTTTATTCGCATAGAAAAATTATCATTTCTGATGTTATTTAGAAGCCGTTAAAGCAAAAATCTCCGATCATATGCGTTTTACCCAAGTACACCCTTTGTAAGACAGATACCACCTGGACTAATGGACAATTCTCGAAATCTATATTTATTTAAGTGGATGAATTTTAAAAACCTAACACCCCCATACATATTATTTGTAATTTAGAAAAACTTACACTTTCACTGTCTGGACTCATTTACATCGCAAATTATCTCTCAGTTCTAAACGAAAACTCTTACCTAAAACATCCTCCATTTCCATGGACAACTTCTGATGATCCGACAATTCTAATTTGATTTCGAACTCCCCCACCAACAGGTCTCCTGAGTGAGTTTGGCTTGGATCTATGCAAAGAGACCTGGTATCCATCCGACAAATTATCCTTTCCGACTCGGTCAGTTCGGGTTTCTTTGGCAGATCGAAATAAACGACAGGAGGGCGGATGTCCTGACTAACTGTAGAAAATTCGGACTGGGTCAGGGTGTCTTGGGTCTGGGTACTCTGTGTTTGAGTATCATGAGTTGTTACAGTTTGAGTCTCTGTCTCTTCTGCCCGACTTTCATCTTGTGTAATGTCTTGTGTCGATTCTTGTGTCACTGTTGTGTCTTGGGAGGTGTTAGCTTCAAGCTGAACCTCTCCAGCCTCGTCGAGTTTATTTTTCACTTGCTTGGTATCGGCAACGTCATGAATCGTTTCTCTGACTTCTTCTACATTTGCAGGGGTGGTTGGTTCGGCAACTTTATTTTCCTCTTCAATGTGTGCTACATATTCTTCCTTAAATATTTCATTTAAATTCTGTTTTATTTCAGGAAAATCGTCTTTGATCATTGTTTTCTGTTGCACCAATGTTTTCTCCTCGGATTTGTCTAATTTCTTTTCAGGAGAGCTGGTGTCGATAAGGCTTTTCTTTTTGGACGAATTGAAAGGTGTAATAAAAACGTGGAATTCTTGGGAACTCTCTATTATGTCTTCCGACTCCTCATCTCCGCTACTGTGTTTTCTTTTCTCTCCTTTATCATTATTTTCACTCATTTCTTCTTTACCAAATACTTTCTTTGGTTTTCCTCGATTTTTAGGAGTCTCGGGGCTGTCTTCTAGTTTTGAACTTGCATTTGATTTTGCTTTATCTTCCGACTTGCACTTCCAAAGCCTTCGCCCTCTGGATTTTGGAGTGTCAGGATGTTTAGGCTTGTTAAATTTATCTTCAATGATAATTCTGGAAGGATCTTCAATTACACTTTTAGTCTCTTGAACTGTTCCAATAGTTTTCCTTCTATTTTTTTCTGTCGCGGACTCAGACTCTTCAACATTCAATGACTTCCTCAACGTATATCTATGAGGAGACAGTTTTTCTTCCTTTTTCGCCATTTTGTTCGGAAAATCATCCAGTTTCTTTGGCTTCTCCCTTGTCCTAGTTCTCCTTGAAGCGGCCAAAAATTCCTCTGCCCCCACTATATCCATCCTCAACTTCTGCAACTCTGCCTCAATTTTCTGCTTTCTTCTTTTCTCTTTTTCTTCAGCCTCAGATTTGGCAGATCCTTCGACTACAACCGCGAGTGGATATGGTCGCTTGTCCACAGGTTCCTCTTGTTTGTTATGATCCAACTCTTCTTTATGTTCTAATTCCTTTGAGTTGCTTTCCTCTTTATTACCTCCACTTTCTGCTACTCTCTCTTCATGTATCATGGTTTCGTCAGGATCCAAGGTGTGCTGGCCTTCAGCAGTTTGTGGAGGTAATTTTTCATCGGCGTTTATTTCATTACTCGACACAGTTAATTCGTTAATGGCCTGTATCGCATCCCCGGAAATTATTTCAGAGGGTAGCATAGCATCCAGGAATAAATTGCCCTCAAAGTTTAAGTCCGTGTTTGGTATTAAGTCTTCGATAGTTTGTATAGGAGCTTCCGGGATTATCTCAGAACTCAGTGCCGCGTCAGGGAACACATTTGGCACATTAGTATCGCTGATGGCCTGCACTGGCAATTTTGGAATGATATCGGTAGGTGCTTGGAATAGATTTTCATCTTTCTTTTCCGTTGGAAAGCCATCAACATTGAATTGGTCCTGGATAACCTCAACGATAACCTTTCTCTTATCTTCGGGATCTTCCTGGTCAGTCTTTTCAAAACCTTTGGAAGAAGACGAAGAAGAAAACATGTCTTGGCTCGTGCTTTGCGACAAATCCTGATAGAGTGCAGGTATGTCTTCTCTTCTTTTTCTTAGTACCTCCTTTTGGTGATTGCTTAACTTCTCCGGTTGGAATTTCACTTCTGTGTCGATAGGGACGAAATCTGACGACTTCTCATCATTAATCGATGGTGAATTGCGAGGTGTTGTTTTTGATATATTTATCATTTTCCTGGGTTTAGGAATGATATTATTTAACTGGCTGCCTTTGATGTGGAGCGGAGATAAAGTTTCCAGGTCTTTACCGAACAACCGCAGGGAGGTAGGGTCGACATTTTTTCCTCTTTTTTGGGGAGATCGGGGAGAGCTTTTGGCCAGTTGAGCTATCCGTGCCGATCTACCAACAGGAGGAATAAATGTGGAAGTCAAATTGTCTTTCTCGATGTTCTCCAAATTCAACACCTGAAGCACTTTCTGCAATTCCTTAGCGTTGTAGCTGTTGGTGTCGCTTTCTTTGTTAAAGAGGTCTAACAGCAAGGAGGAAAGGTGTGTGGAAAATTTTAACCTTAAATTCGGAGAATTTTTCATAAATGTTGCCAAAGAATCAAGTAGTTTGTAACCCTTGTGGATACGTAGAATATGTTCGATGCAAGAGCAAATGTTGCCTATTAATTCATCGTTAGCGTCGTTTAAGTAACATTCTAATGACGGTTCGAAGTACTGCATCACCAATGCTGTTATTTTTTGTTCCTCTTCTGTTTTTAAGTTAGGTAGTTGTAGAATTTGGGATGAAACAATCATTATATTATTAACTGAAAAAAAAAAAAATTAAACAATAAATATTTATAACTTATTTTCATGATTAATATTTAGTTACCGAATTCCTTTGAGAATTTTGTTTCAAATTGGGACATCACATTTAATAAGGAAACAACGTCGGGATTCAGTAAAGGATTGCTTTTAAAAATATTCTGCAAGTCTTTCATAACATGGAGCTTCTTGTTTTCTGAATCTGTCGTTATTTTCCTGTACAGCTTCATCCAATGCAATACGACTTGCTGAAACACAGATGACGTCAATTCAAAACTATATGAATGTTGATCGAAATTTACTTTTTTTGTTACTTCATCCAAATGGTGCAGGTGGTAAGCCGGCCACATGAAAAAACTGTTAAAATCGCTGAATTGTTCAATTTGTTCTGTACTAAAATCTGCAACTAGCTCGTTAGCTAAACAGAGCCATATCTTAGCAGCATATGAAACGTTTTCTTTCAAAGGCTTCAGCTTTGTAAATAGTATCATTATTTCTTTTAAAATATTTATTTTATTTTCAACCATAAAAATTTTTGTGAACCAATGTGTTATGACTGCTTTGAACTTATCAACAACACTTAATGGACTAGAATGAAGAAAACATTTTTAAAAATAAATAATGTATGTAGTAGTGCACTTACAAATCATCTACAGTAAAAAGTATCCTTATCAATTGCTTTAGAATGTATTCCATGACTTCATAGACAAATTCCTCATCATAGGACATTAGGACAGTAAAAATCAGAATCAAAAGATCTTCGAAATAAGGATTTTCCCTGCTTTGCTACAAAAACCAAAATATTTTAAGATAGTTACAAGAAAATGTAGTAATTCTTACTGCAAGATAATTATCGAGAACATCCACAACTATCTGAAAATACCTCATCCTATTGGCTTCCGAGGTTGGTATAATTAGATTAAAAACGGATTTCCACAAACATTTTATCACCTAAAAAAATATAATAAACTCTATCGGAGACAACACTTGTTATTCATTCATTTACTGTTTCTCGTTTTGACTGTATATCCACTTCCTTTAAAAGCGTGCAACATTCCGCAACAGAATTTATAATAATTTTATAAAAACTTAATATATTTGTATAGTTTACAACAGGTTTTTCCAATTTTATAATATCTTCTGTCGATAAACATGACACAGTCTTTCCATGACTATGTCCTGAAAACCAAAAAAAGTCATTATTTATATGTTGTTTTATGAAAAATAAAACTTACCTATTATTTCTATCAATACTTTTGCACTCTTGGTCCAAATTTGTGGTACACTTTTACCTTGGCCCGTTTTACTTGCATCTTTGTTATCGCCAACTGGTCCGAAGCAAAATTCTAAAAATTCAGTGAGGCATAGCACCGCTTTATGCTGTAATTTTTCTAACAAATATGTAAAAACATCGAATCTCTTACAAATTACAACTTCTTGCTTCGAAAACTTCGCCTTCAATGGAGTTATTAGAAGTTTTATTTGTTTGGCACTACACATGTGATTCATATCTAGACTTGCATTGTCAATCAGTTCCTAAACATTTACGAGAAATAAGATCTAAGAATTTAAATAATGTATACATACCTTCCAACAATCATATCCCTTTAACCTCTGTTGAATTGATGAATTTCTGAAAGCAAATTCTACAACCCGTAACAGTCTATTTGTCAGGTCCATTGAGTAGTGAATGTGTTTGTCGCAAAACCTAACCAAAAATATCCACAAATTATGCCAATTAGGATAATCTTTGTCTCTCAGTTCTCCAATATTTATTACATACCTAAAAAATATACAATTCAAGAAATAGATAGTTAACATATATCTTCTGCTTACTCTGTGTTTACATGTCTAAGAAATAATTCCCGTTCCTCTGAACTTAACTCGCCTATAGATAAAACAGTTGACATCATAAATGCTATATCAATTAAAGCATCTCGAATCTCATTATTTGTATTTATCGCCATCATTGCAGGAATAACAGTATTAATAAAAAATATCTTACATCTATCTTTTGGTACAATGTTAACACATACGTCTTCTATAATATTTATGAGCTGTAAGAACAATAATATGCCTTGAATTGTTAAAAAATTATTCTTCTACTCACCTTATTTGTGTTTTGATTCCGCCAAGATGAAAGAATATTTGTAAAATTATACTTCTTTTCTGATATACAGTCCACAACCTTCTGTTTAATTGACTTTAATATACAGTTATGTATGAATTTGTTGACTGTATCCTCATGAAATATCTTGATCAGTTCGACTTGTATTTCCTCATTATTTAAGCATAACAAAAAGTTTAACATTTCAATTGCAGTTTTTCTTACATTTTCATCATTACTCGTCACATCTTTCTTGATCAGGACTATTTGATTCATGTATATGTTTCTATCCAATTTGAGACCTTTCTCTAGGAGTTTCTTTATAGAACATTGAGTTTCTTTGTACATTCTGCACTTCTCGTTGCCACTCATCGCTCTTTAAATCAACGTAAACAATTAAAAATGTAAAAGCAATTAGGTTTATATAAGGTCACAATACTACTTACAATATATAAATATAGACTATTAATTACTCTTTAACACAAAATATACACTTTTATAAATACTGTAAATATTCTATACATCACACATAAACATAAGTATCAAAATTGTTTAGAAAATGAAGAATACAGCGCGGGAAAGCGCGAAACGGGGAGGGCAGTCTCCCTTTTTCTGTCACATACAAAGTTAGCCAACTTTACGAAATTTGGGGTTATTTAGTTAGTTCTTCCTAGGATATTTTTCACGAGAGACTTGGTCCTAAATTTAGTATAGGTTGCTTTTTAATATTCACAGAACTACTAAAAAATTGGACCATACTTCAAGTGTAAATTTATTTTTTTGTTGTTCTGTTTCTTTCTACTGTCCACAAAATTGTATAAATTCGTCATTTGCTTTTTCTAACCTTAAAATTTAAATAGTTCATTAATTCATTCGGTGTCCAGTGCATGACTATATAGAATGATAAACAACAATAAACTTGCCCGCTTACCGATTGATTTAAAAACTCGTCTAATAGCGGTCACTAGCAATGACTGGAACAGCATTCCGATTTTTATCTTTTTTTGACTTTATCAAATTCAACAGCAATGGTAATACTTATACGTAGGTGGTCGAAGTAAAATATATCACATACATACTTATACTCAAGGGCGTTAGGTAGGATTTTTGTTTTAGGTGGACCTCAAGGGGACAGCTAGTCTAATATCGAAAAAGTAACTCGAAAGAAGTGACGCTAAGTTGGAAAATTGCATAGTTTTTTCATTTTTTTTACTGCCCACGAAAATCTAGACGACCAATCGGAAAATTAGTTAACTGTAAATTAAAGGTCGAATGCGAAAGAATCAGTTTTCAAAGACTGTGCATGATGATTGGAAAAAAGAGATGGATGTTGATGAAATTTATGAGAAAAACGGTCAATCCAAAGACCAACATGTGCGCTAAAGGCAGATTCGATTAACCTTGAAATTATTGCTTTAGGTATTTGTTAATTAATTTCGTTAGTTTTTTTGCAACTAATTATTTAATCACTAAACGTTAATTTTCGAAGTTAATGTGGTAGATGTAGGTTCTAATAATTAATCCAAAGAAACGTATCGGAAAAGAAAAAAAGTAGAAATTAAGTCACCGTTTACTATCAAAGTAAGTCGTGCAAAACAGCCGCTCGGAAATTTTCTCTTTTCGCATTAAATACCTAGATCTTATTTTTAGAGGCAATTAATGAAAGAGTTTTATTTTCAGAAAGTTTTTACATTGATAGTTCATGTAGTAAACGCGCTAGCAGCAGTAAAAGTTAACCTGATGTATTTCTGGTTGCCTAAGTTATACCGAAAAATGGTAGAAAACAGCCCTTTTTTATTCCAATATATCATCTTAAAGCAATGGAAGAAAGTAGTCAAATTTCATAACACATTTGGCAAAGTATAAATGAAGACAGTAAAGCAAAAATTTATTGGGATAGGTAAATAATTCGTGAGACATTAATTTCTAAATATGAAGGTTTTTTGGACTTTTACAAAGAAACGATTATTTCTTCATAGTATTATAGAATTATGCAATTTTTTATATAGTTGTCTTTAATTAAATAAGCTGATTAAACTTTATTTCATAGTTTGTTCATTACTTTATTATTTAAAAAGTTATATTGGCATAAAATTATTAAAAAATATTCATTCATGAATAGCATTATCTCCGACTTTTAATTCGCTTGATTTGTAATAGATGTCGCACTAGTAAAAATTTATTTATGAATGGACTCGGGTTATTTTTAACGAACAGCTGTTGTATGTGGTTAATTTGGTATAACCTGATTCTGAATTGGTAGTCATGGTTTCTGTTAATTGATACGTAAATATTTAAAGAATGTCATGATCATTTTAGATATATTTTTGTATAAAAGTATATAAGTAACAGTGCAAGTCCATACTATTATATAATTTTAGAAAATATGAAATATAAACAATTTTTAGTTTATTTAAAACCATAATTTATAATTAATATACCTATATTAGTATCTACGGTTAGTGGATAAGAGGGAAAACATTTTTATTTTCTATTCTACTAGAAAAAGTAATTCGTGACAAAAAATATTTTGCTTTTTAATTGAATATGTTTGTCATGAAAAACTGTAATTTATATATATACAGGGTGATCAGAAATTTAACAAAATTAATAACGTTGAAGAATAAACTGCTTTTGTTTTTGATAATATAAAAAAATGTTAATAAGAAAAGTTGTTCATAACGGAAAGTTATGTTATAATTACGATTTGTGAATAAAGCGGCTTACTTTGGTATAAACAGAAATGGAAAATATTATATTTTTAATAATTAATATTAAGTAATTCTTGATAAAAAAAAATCGCATATTAATATAAATTGAATTTTAATTGTGAATATACATAATAATGAGAAAATATAAAAAATATGTACGATATACTTATTTTGTCCAAAAAATGTGTAAAGAATTATGTACAAAAGGACGATTTGAGACTAAATTTTTTTTATGAGAAATAGGTATTCAGTTCACTTCACTTGAAAAAATAGTTGTAGGTACTTTAATACCTCCAATATAAACAGAAATTCTGTGGAACAGTGTAGTTTAATAAATATGTAAATAAATGAAAGTAATAAAGAAATAAATAGAATAGGTACAGTAGAACAGGAAAAAATTTAAAAAATCATAAAATAAAATTATTTCTTTTTATTAATTTGAGCTTCTATAATATATTCTGGATCCATACATCTTTTTCCCTGTGGAATATTTTTGTATATTATTTCTGGTAGTATACAATTTTTATAAAATTGTTCCAAATTTGTTGCCATTGATTTTTTCCATAATTCTTCATCTTTCTTAATTTGTTCTACATAGAGCGGGTTGTTTTCACCACTATAGGTATATTACGAAATAACATATAGACTTCTTCCGGTTATATTTAACTGTCTCTGTATCTGAAAGTAAGAAAAGAATTTTACCAGATAATATTTGTTATAAACATAGATAATTATACATTTTTACCTATTATGCTTTTGATTTACCATAATGATATATCTAGTCATATATAGGGTGCCACAATAGTGCGATAAAGTTTAGTATAACTGCCTGTAGTAGTGATACGAAAAAAGTTACTTGCTCGGATTCACATTTTATTATTATTTCCATTATTCATTATTTTCAGACCGAATTAAACGTTCAGAAAATCTTGTTTTTGGCCTGAAGATTTTGCCCTATACAACTATAACTGAAAATAATTATAAACTTTGTCACACTATTGGAACAGCCTGTATGTGCATTGCAACGACAATATGTCATATTTATATTACGGCTAAGTAAGCGGAAAGTCCATTGTCGCATATGTAATTTTTATTTTCAAATAATCAAATACAATATACCTACATATTTATTTTTAATATCTATTATTTACTTGAATTTAGTACTAAGTACAACTATGCCTAGCAAATTGTAATACTTACTCTGTTAATGTTTTTTCCTTCATATAAAAAATAGTAAACTCCACAAATAAAATATTTCGCAGCCACAACGCAACAATAAAAGATAACAGCTCAAAGATCCATACAAGAAATAATTACATTCGCACCTACTCTGGTCCGAATCCATATAAGTACTAAAATGTAGAAAATAATATGAAATAAAACTTTTAGTTGGCTGCAAATATTATAAATTTGTACAACCACTTGCCATCCTCCTTTTTTGTAAATATGTTCATAATAATATGTAGAAGATAGAAAATAGAAATATTTTCAGAACAAAAAACCGACTGCCGCAAATTGGAGTTTTTATTATTTTATTAAGTACCCTTCTCTTTTCATATGCAATTATCAGATAGTAAGAGAGTGGGATGGACGTATAGGCCGGACAACTCATTATCGTGCACGTGTGCATGCACCTGGCATTTTCTCGTTTTTTTAGGTGTGTTTTGCCGGAATTTGTATGAATGAAATAATCTTACTATTTTTACTATAAACGTATTTCCTGTAGCGACATCTATATGAATATTGTAGTACTTTGTTAGATGAAACGGGACTTCAATTTCCGTTCTTAATGAAGGACATGCACGAGGGAGAAAGAGCGCCGGGCCAACGCATGCGCGTGAACGGCAACGTAGATTAGAAGGTCCAAAACCTTCTCTAGTCGCTTTTTTTTCTTATCTGTTGAACTCACAAATCTAGTTCACGCGATCATAAATCGATTAATAATACTTTAAAAATCATAAATGTTTTCATTCTAACGGATCGAATGGATTTGATTGTTCGTTTACATTATAGTGAGTGAAAGTCTGTGGAGCTTAGTAAATCAGCAATTTTTTAAATACCACGCCATATTAATTGTTGACAGACTGCGCCATCTGGATTATTTCTTAGAATTATACGTGACATTTATTTTATTTAGAACCACTGTAAAAAATGGTATATTTTCACGATCGATAAATGTTCATTATTAGTTTTCATAAAGAAAGTCGCAAATACCTAACAATCCTTTTTATTGAGAAAATTTGACTATTAGTTTCAGAGTACAATAGGTACTCAATCACAATTACAAATTTTATAAACATGCTTTATTCATTAAAATTGTCAGTACAGATTTTTTAAATATTGAACAAACACCAAACAATAATGCAAGAAATAAAACAAATTTTCTACAAAATACTTTTATTCTATCAATGCAAAAATATTATACAAAATTACGATCACTTACTGTACAAACTTATATTATTTGTATAAATACCTATTGTTTGAGCAATATGTTTCTTTGCAAATTGTCAGTGGTTCCTCGTCACTACAAAACACCTTAAATGATAACAAATGTTCACTGACTAATTTCACAATTTGATTAGAGCGCATCTTAACAGTTAATATTGCTATTTTATCAGTCAGACTGGTACATTTTCTTCCGTTTTATCACAGCAATATTGCTTGGGCACAAACGTTTTTGAATTGAAAGCTTGTTTTTTCCGCTAGCAAATGTAAACGTAAACAATAATCGCTGCTATAAAAGAAGTTCGCGTTTACGCACAAAATATGTACCAAGTCTCAGACAGGCATTTCAACTAATACACGAGAAATCGTCCTTTCCTTGAATAAATCATGTAAGAGTTGAAACACCTCTGAAATAAATTACAACCTAAAAATAAACCTATTTCAGGGAAACCTAGACTCTTTTAAAAACCGTGGATGCACTATATTATGATAAGAACTAGATCTAGCTAAGCTGTTGCTATTATTAGGGTAGTACTTCCCCTCTGGTGGCGAGTACCTTCTATTCGGTTCGTTATATCTTGATCTGACTTCCGGCCTGTTCATACTGTAAGCCCTTGTGTCATCAATCATGGCTCTATGTCTGTAGTAATCCGCATCGGAATCGTTTCCAAAAATATCCAAAACTTGTGGAGTGTGGAACTGGTTCAAAGTCACGTCCGAATTTCTTCTCCAAGCTTCGCGATATCTCCGGTCTATCACCGTGTCATCCGGGACAACCTTTTTCTGAGATTGTATCGAGGATTCACTGGAATTCTCTTCTGAAGTTCCTAAGCCCAAATCTTTGTCCACGTCTCCAAAATTTTTAAACGGCTTTTTACTATATCTTTCAATCGGACTAGGAATGTTAGCGTCTTTCATTGCTCCCAAGTTGCTGCCGTTCAACGTAAAGTGAGGATGAGGTATGCAGTACGGATGGGGCAGAGATTTTTCAATGTTGGACAGCTTGATGTCTTCAGCATCTGAAGGAGAAGTACAAGAACCCGGTCCAAACAGAGACAAAAGTACTGGGAGCAAGAAGAGGCCATGCATAGCACCACAGAATACAACTAGGAACACCATTTTGAAGAACACTGAAAAGATGTAGTTGTTTGCTAGGAGCAAAGCAATCATTCCTAGGATTGTACTGACGGATCCCTGGAATATCGGCAAGCCTAGAGCGTAAAGAGATTCCTTCACTCTTTCGTCTGGTGTTTTCGCTGACGATGACATGTAAGCGTAACAAATATGAGCGGTAAAGTCCACGCTAAACCCTATGCACATTATGAGGTTTATCATGGAAATAGAATCGAGGTTTACTCCCCATAAAGCCATGTAGCCAACAACTCCGGCTTCGATGGAAATTATGCTGAAGGCTACCCAGATGGCGCAGAGCATGTTGGGGATGAAGATGAAAGAGACCAACATCATTATACCTGCTCCGATGATCATGTTTTGAATAGAAAGAGATCGGACTAGTTCAAACTGAAAGGAAAGATTTTAGTTAATATATTTGATTATCATTTTGTAATTTATATTTTACCTGATCGAAGAAGACGAAATATGGATGGAAAACTGTAGCGTTCAGTGGAGACTCATAACATATTTTCCGTAGAGCTCGAACCATTTCCTTTTCATGTTCCGTTCCAGAAATATTTACGGCTTGGATGAAAAATCGCATAGCTATTATTTTCTCGCCCGATTCATCAAACTTTACGTCTAGAGAATTCGCACTGGTTGGTCCTAAGTAAAGCTACAAAGAGAAATACAATATTTTCCTCAGTAAATAATAGTGTTACTGTAACAAACCTCTTTCAGCGTGTTAATGAACTTCTCGTTGCTGTCTATAGTTATGTTGAGATAATCTCGATTTCGATCGACGTATTGCAGAAATTCTCTTAGCCAAGACTTTGTATAGAGTCGATTTGAGGATATGTAAGAGGTATTCTCAAGGGTTTCGGTGAGATTTTCCACTTGCCGTTGAATCACACGGTGGGAGTAGTCATATTCTCCTGAAATAACCACCTGGATCCTGAAACCAAGAAAATTGTCAAACTGGCAAGTTATTTTTTCCAGAGTTCAATCAAAATGAATAAATTTAAAGTATAAGTCATTGTTATTAAAGGAGTCATCTCTCACCTATAGGGAAATTCCTTGTAGTAATCATCTTCTCTGTCAAAGAATTCTATAGCATAAGAGTCGCTTTTCGCCACCTTTCTTCTCTCTAAGCCTTCCTCTATCTGTGTGATCCCATAGCCCGCCCCCAGCAGGTAAACGCCAAAAATCAGAATCACCAAAACCTTAACACATCCGTTGTTCAGAACGGAAGCAAAATAGTCCCTGAAGAAGACCATGAGGCCATGTTCTTGGTTGTCTACTGGATTATCCATGTCATTTGGATCCACCCCACCGCTACAGAACCACCGGTAGAGGAAACATCTGTCGCCTACAACAAAGCACAAAAAATATACAATAATATACATATTTTTGTATGAAATTTATGATGAAAACATTTCCGAATCGGTCTTACTGAATCTGCTGGTTTTGATTCTGACACACAATATGGAATAAAGTAGTAGTAGTACCACCTATCTCTGAAGTTACAGAAGACAGTTATAAAATCTATAAACCGTAAGCAAATAAGACTATGACAAATATTATGACAAATGTGAACATATTTATTTTTATACAAAGAGTTTCGTTATCTCTGAGCAGCATGACTTTACCTTTGGTGGATCTATATTGTAATCAATATCAATTTATTGCTGAGACTTTGGAGCAAGGATGTGATGTGATTTATACAGATTTGTAGAAAGCATTCAATAAATTACATCGCTGTATACCGTTATGCAAGCTTGAATATTTTGGAATTTTACACTTGTTGAAATCAAATCGTTCCTATCGTGTTCAATTTGTAATACAGCAGTTACAAATTTGATATCAAACATCAGGCGTACCTTAGGGCTCGATACTTAGCCCACTATTGGGCTAAGTTCTGTATCTGACTGTAAAAAACGCACAATTTGGACTTGCTCTGAGTATGTATATCAATTACCTATAGCATTTAAATATTTTTACCATGTATAACCAGACTAGGTGTGAAGGAAGGATCTAAGTATTATATTTGATATAAAATTTTCTATATTGCTGAATGCCTTACAGGGCTTATACAAATTTGTGTTTTATATTGTGTAACAGTAAAGATTTTAAGAATGTTTCCACGTAATTTTTTTATTGCAATGAAAAGTGTTATACATGTTATTATATTAAATTTTTACTTTTATTTGTTTTACTTTTATACTTTTATACTTTTACTTTTTATACTTTTATACCTTTACTTTTTATACTTGTTTTAAGTATTAGACCTAAGGTTTTTTTTATGACCATTCCTATACAATAACTTTATTGTCATAAAAGGAAAAGAAATGAATAAATAAATATATACTTATTTTTATTTTTATACTTTATATTTATTTTATTTTTATACTTTTACTTTTTTATTTTTTCTTACTGTTTAGGTATCATAAGCTATTTCCTATTTTTTTCAAAAATTGCCTTTATTGTAACGAAACTTTCATCATCTCAGTTCTTATTTTGAGCTACAGCAGTCTTGTATTGAAGGTACCTACAATATGTATAATTATTAGACATCGAAAATTTTATGGCGACAATCGAATAACTAAACAGTAGCAATATATGTATAATAATAATCTTTATTCACATAGGCCTACAGTGGTTGTGAAGCGTCAACAATAGATATGTTTACAATACATAAAAGTATATTAATACTAATATGTACTTATTTAGTTTATAATTTATAAATATCGATAAAATTATACAAATAACATCAAATAATACAACCTAAGAACTAGTTTAAAACTGTAGTTCAATTTAATAAAACAGAATTATAACAAAATATTGTTTAAAAAATTCATCACACACATTACACATTATTTAAAAAGAAATCATTTATGGTATTATAATAGTGTCTAGATAAAAATAAGTGCAGTGATTTCCTATAGTTTTTGTATGTGCTAATCTCTATGATCTCAGACGGCAAACAGTTATATTCTCTACTACAAAAATGAAGGGCACTTTTCTCTGAGCCAGCTAGATTTATATTTTTTCTATAAACAGCAATCGCTGTACGGGTATTATAAGAGTGAATATCAGAATTTCTTGGGAATTTATGCAAATTTATTTTAATGTATAAAACTGCCTCATAAATACATAGGCAAGGGAATGTTAATATGTTGTTTTGTTTAAATATTGGCTTACACGAATCCAACGGACCTAATGAGAACATAAGTCTAATTAATCTCTTCTCCAAAAAGAAGATAACTAAGTGTTTCAAATGTGAGTATGCTAGTGTGTAATAAATATTTAGTACGTATTTGGGATTCATTATGTAACTAATATTTCTTAGAGCAAAATATGCGGAATTTAGTTTAGATATTACATGGTCTATATGATTTCCCCATTTTAAATTCTCATCCATATAAAGACCTAGGAACTTTGTGTAAGAAATTTTTTGAAGATTTTTATTATTTAATCTTAGTATAATATCTTTTATTTCACGCCTTTTCTTAAATATAATGTAATGGTTTTATCTGTATTTGTAATTAATCTGTTGGAGTGACACTATTGCCAAAAGAGTGTTAGTGTATTATTTGCTTTTGTCTAGAGTTCTTCTAGACTATTAAAGGTGATACTTATGGTTGTGTCATCTACATACACAACTAATAGAATATTGGGGTCGGTAATAACATTGGCATCCAGGTCATTCATAAACAATATAAATAGTAGTGGCGCAAGACTACTTACTTGGGGAACACCGAAACTTACAATTTAAGGGCTCTGATCTGTGCTCTGCCAATTTTACTGATATTTTCCTATTTGAAAGAAAAGAATAAATAAACTGATTTAAAGGTTCTCTTATTCCTAGAGAGTTTTTTTAGCAATAACCCCTTGTCTACGCAATCAAATGCTCGGGTGAAATAAAAAAAATACCACTACAAAAATTACTACTATAATATTGCCTTTTATCTAAAGCTTCATAAATATAGTTAGGAGGTCATAAGTTGCAGACATTGTGGAACGTTTAGTTATAAATCCATGTTGATTTTGTGATAGCAAATTATAATTCTTAAGGAAATTAGAAATTCTGTCATATATAATTTTCTCAAATAACTTGGATAATGATGACAATAGTGCAATACGTCTATAATTATCAACCAGAGCTTAGACTTATTTTTCATAGAGTTAAGAGTGTTCTCTATTTCTGCAGATGTTATGTTGTTAAAGAAAATGGATGGTCATATATGGCCAATAGTACCTTCAGTAATGTTCTTGGTTTGAAACGTCGAATTTAATAAATTTTCCGAGATTTTCGAGAAGTATTGACAGAAAGCGTTGCATATGTTTTGTTTATTATAGATAAAGCCATCATCTTGTTTTAGTTGACTAATATTTACGGGTTTTCTTTTTAGACGTCCTAAATTTATATTGACAATATCCCAAACCTCTTTTATGATATTAGCATTGTCAATTCTATTCTGATAATAATGCTGCTTTTTATATTATAACATTTCCGATCTCTAATAATTTTTTCAATGTTGGTTATTCATTGACAACAACATTTTTTACATAATTCGTTGGTTTGTTTGTATATTTTTTATACAGTACGCGCCTAAAGTATGGAATAAATTCAGTTAAAACGATACAAATTTTTTTTGGGGGGAAATCCTCGAACAGGTCGATTTTTAATTTAAAAAATACATATTTTAACATAAAAGGTGATTTTCAACCGTCATTTGTTTTCGAGTAATGACGTCATCGACATTTTTTTTAAATAGCAACCCCCTATTTTTTTTCTTGATTTTGAAAGATCGTTTCATTGTCGATCCGACAGTATTAAAATGTTGCCATTTTACATCGGAAAGTTTTCGAGTAAATGACGATTGAATGTTAGAAAACGTAAATTGTATTCATTAAAAAAATAAAGATTCCTATGTGAAGCAAATACAATTCTTTAAGTTTTCTACCTAAATTAAGTGTTCGAATTGCCACTCACCGACTTCTTGACAATACGCAAGTCTGTGTAGAAATTCTTCTTGCACATTATGAATTATTTCTGGAGTAAGTAACTAATTTTGGAGTTCTTCTAAATTATGTGGTCTATTAACGTACACTTTGGACTTTAAGTAGCCCCATAAGAAATAGTCCAGGGGTGTAAGATCTGGGGATCTCGCGGGCCATTCTGTCGGTCCTCGTCTGCCGATCCACCTCCTATTTTGTCAATTGTCCAGAAAATCTCGAACAGGGCGCGTATAGTGCGGAGGTGTACCGTCTTGCTGAAACCATATGATGTCATCGGGAATATCAGGGTCATTATCGTTAGGAAAAATTATAGCAAGCGCTGGAACAAGGTCATTTTGTAAAAACTCTAAATAGGTATCTTTCTCCTGTAAGGGTTCCTTCAAAGAAGAAAGGCTCTACTATTCTGTTGTCAACTATTCCAGCCCAAACATTTAATTTCTGTGGGTGTTGGGTATGTATATCTGCCATCCAATACCTGCAAGTTTGACAGTTCACTGTACCATTGAGACAAAACATGACGTCGTCTGAAAAACGTATTTGCCGGTGTAAATCTCTATTTACTTGACATAAATCCATCATAATTTCACAAAAGTGTAAGCGGCGGTCGGGATCGTCTTCATTGAGTTCCTGCACAAACTGAATTTTGTATTTTTTCCTTTCTCAGGATACGTAGCACTGTGGTCTGACTAATTTCATTGTTTAATGCAACCAATCGTGAAGTATTATGAGGATTATCTACCATACTTATCAAAATGTTCTATTTGTGATCTTCACTAACGCTTGGACGTCCAGGTTTTGGAATATCTACAACATTGCCAGTTTCTCTAAATTTAGATTCTATCTTACTGACTGTTGATTGGCTGATACGGCGATTTGGATGTTTTTCATTAAATAAATCGCAAACTTCCTGCTGCGTTCTAGTCTTATCCCCGCATCCGATAAGAATTAAAATTTCAATTCTTTGTGACAGTTAAATGTGCCATAATACTTTAAATTCAACAATAATTTTTATATCACTTACAAGACTTAGAAAGTCGGTATGACAGTGACACTTTGTAAAGATTTACACCTACGTGATCCATAAAAAACTTCAGGCATTTCGAAAAACTAAATTTGATAACGTTATTGCTTTATATTTTAATTGATTTGGGTTTTCTAACATTCAATCGTCATTTACTCGAAAACTTTCCTATGTAAGATGGCAACATTTTGATACTGTCGGATCGACAATAAAACGATCTTTCAGAATCAAGAAAAAAAAATGTCGATGACGTCATTACTCGAAAACAAATGACCATTGAAAATCGCCTTTTATGCTAAAATATGTATTTTTTTAAATTAAAAATC